CGGAGTCTCGTAGACCGTCCACCATGCAGCAGGTCCTCGGTAAGTATTTGCTGACTATATGTTGCCACACAGCTGACTGCCACTGGTATTTCCTCTCTTTCTTTTTAACTAATCATAGCTACACGTTTTACTACCCAAAATACCTCTTTTTGATAAGGGATTAAGCAAGAAATTACAGTTTTCTGGTTTCTTGAGAATACCACAAAAGCCCTAAAGGAAGTAGAAATGGCAGTTTTTCAGGGGCCCATGATAACTATGGCTGTCATTTTAAGCTCAAGCCTATCTGCCCAGGATAGCCACTCACCAACACCCTTTCCTCCCCTCCGCCCTCTTTCTTTTTAGAGGGCCTGGCATCAGCACTGACCTTGCTTCTTCTAATGTGTTGTCCCTTCCCCCCCTCTCTCCTAGAAGCCATATAACTTGGTGTCTCTTTTTGCCATCTGTGTCTGAGTGTGACTGAGAATGGACCCAGCCTTATGTTTAAGGCAAGCTCCCCTTCTCTGTACACCCACTTATATAAGCCCATCTTTAAACTAGATGAGGCTTCTTAAAGTGCTGACCCCTTCCTCCATCTCTTCCACAGCTCCATCCTAAACCAGCCCCCGCCCCGGCGCTCCTGAAATGCCTTTAGATTCATTACTAATGCCTCCCCTTCGGGAAGTCCTTCTGACACGCAGAAGGTGCCCTTCTGGGGTGCCTCATGCCATCCTGCTTGTCTCAGCCAGGACACTCTCCTTCACTCCCACCAACCACTTCAGAAGACTGACTCTCAAGTCCGCTCTAGCCCAGGGCTATGGAGTACTCAGCTCTTACCACTGCACCTCTGAACAATTTTTCCACGCCGAGATCCATCTGCTCTGTCGAGGGGGAACTACACTTTGTGGGCCTCTTTCACACATAGTAGATGCTCAGGGTTTGTTCAGACATATTGCTATTTCTCTACCAACTTCCTCTATTGCTGTCCCATGTGGGTACTTCAGAAATTACCAATTCTCCAGAGAGCTAAAGCCATACTAATTATTCCCCCCCCCACACACCTCCTAGTCTCATGACGACTAGTGATTTCAGCCATACCCAGAACCTCATGGGGTATGAGCCGAGAACCTCAGCATGTTCTCAAATTCAATGTCCACTTCCGGCTCCCCTGTTCTCACTGCTCCCATCTTCTGTTAGACCTTTCACTGGTCTCCCAGATGTGCAACGTGTCTGTTCTCTACACAGCCACAGAAGAGAGAGTCCTGAAGTCCAGTGCTCGTGACACACCCCTGCTTGTGCCCTGTGGCATCTCTTCCACTTCCTAAGTAATGAAACAAGTCCAAACTCCTCACACAGCACCCGGGGCTTCTCGAGATCCCGCCTGAGTATAAGCACCTCCTCCACCGGCCCCACCTCGTGTATCTTTCAACCTAATCAGCCCAAACTCACCTTTATGCTCTCAAATTTGCTACCTTCTCTTGGCTTGGTTTATGTTGGACTCCTTCTGCCTGTAATCTTTGCCCCAAGCTCTGTTCAGTTCCCATTTCATTCCTCACACCCAGCTCCCATGTAATTGTTCTAAAGCCTGCTGAAACTAGTGCCTACATGCTTGCTCATACGTAACATCTGTCCTTCCCAAATGAGTTTGAACAGTGTGACATACATTACACTGCTTAACTGTCCTGTGCTCTTTGAGCTTGGGGGAAGCTGACTTCGGGAGTGGGGAGGCCCTCCATTGTCTCCTCCAAGCAGGGAGCTCACTCTGTAACAAGCAAAACAGCAAGCCACAGTGGGTATCAAGCACATTTTATCCTTGAGAACAGTTAGGAGATAAACGGTTTGTAACCAACTTAACTGAACTTGAAGCTAGAAGTTCATCTGGAGAATGCTCATCCTGGAGGGGATGGAGAGGACCCTCTAGCCTAGGACTGTCCCAATTGGGAACTCCAGCTGACTGCCTCAACTTCCACAGTTAGTTTCTGCTGTACAGTTGTAAGCTTCCGGTTTGATTATGTTCTTTATCTGCTGCTGTTTGTTCTTTTACCTGAGGATATGATCCCACACCACCTGGGACTTTTGCTTGGCAACTCTAGCTGACTACCTCACTGGGGCTTCTCCGGTGGATTTCTGCTGTGCCTCTGCAAGCCTAGATTTGATCTAGTCTTGTGGCTGCTCTCTCAATTGGTCCACATCCAGTCATCTCTGCTGGATGCTGTGATCCCCAGAGCTGATATTTCGCTACCTAGCTGTGGCTTTTCTCCATCCCCTACTCACCATTCTCTTCCTCTTGCTAGCTATCTATTTAAGAATTCACTCATTCAACACTGAAAGCATGACTACTGTAGAACATTCCAGACTCTACCGAACAAGTAGCTTACAAGTCATACGTACAATACAACTGCCTTTTTAAAGAGACTGTCACAGCTGAAACTTGGAAGCATGAATGAGATAGAAGGCAGCAGGTCATGGAACACTCAGAATCTGCTGCCATAAGGGCTCAGGCTCATCTCACTGAAGCACACTGGCCCTGCGTCTCTAGAAAATGAGGTGGCCCACCCCCCTGCAAACACGTGTTAATCATATACGTCAACCAGTAGCACGTCCCACATAGCTTGTGATTTGCCCTTTGTGGCCCTCCCCCTCTCTGAGATGGGAAACTCCGAAGGTAATATATAATTTCTGAGTCATCTGCATCTCAGCATGTAGCACGTGACTCAGCAAAGGACTAGCACTCTGGAGACATTTCTCTGAACGAATGTCCTATAGCCAGGAAATACAGTGAAGCGCTGGTTGAGTTTCCTGCCAACTACTTGGGAAAAAAAAAACATATTCTCTCTCACACACATATATCATAACCACACAGGTAGGAGATAGCAGGTAAATGGATGAAGCCAAGCTATCTCCCCTAAAGCACTTCCTCTTTCCACTACCGTATTATCCGTTACACTTGCCACCTCTGTGTACCCCCAAATCCTCCCCCAGGCCCTAGTTTAAAACAAAACTCCTTTATCCAAGAAGTCTGTCCTGCTCACTCATGGTGGCACTGGGTAAGAAGTTCGGAGAGGGCAGGGTGCTTCCCTGGTGGCTGAGAACAGGCCATGCTTCCCGCAGACAGTGCAAGGGAGCCCAGCTCCATTCCTTACTGCCCTGCCCCCTACTGCAGCCCTGGACATTTCCTGTCTTCCTCGTTTTTTTTCACTCAGGGTACCGAGCCTTTCAGTTCTCCCCACTCCAAACTGAAACTCAAAACTTTCTCCAACCCCACTGTCTCCCATAAGCAAGTGAAGAGCAGAGGGAGCTCCCCTTCCTCACAGCAGTTAGGCTTCGGTATTCTAAGCATCTTATCAACCTCGAGGATTGCTTGGTCCCTTCATCTCCTGCAACATCGACCAAGAACCTCTGCGTCCTAAGCCGTGTAACCCTTTGCCAGGCCTAAGGCCAGTGGCTGCACGTCATCTGAACACGTTCGCCTGGTTGCAGGAGTAAAGAGAGACAACTTCTGATGTTTCTTCAGGACCTCTCCTCTTCCCCCCTCAGAACAGACCTTTCTCAAGATGCAGCTTGCGGCAGGACAGGAAATGGATGACCCCCATCTATCTCCAGGTTTGGGAATTCTTTTTCTCCATTCCTTTTCTTCCTCTCTGGCCTCAAACTCTCATTGCTGTCCTCAATCCTAACTCAGGAACTATTTTATTAACGTTCAACAATTTCCTGTGTAACCACACACTCATGGTCTCTCCTGACATGCCAAAGCCCCCACACAACTCAGGCCCTGTTATCCCAGCTCCAGTTTCAAATGTGTGAAAATACGTCTCTAGCCTTGGGCCATTCTCCTAAGTACTGCCAAACATCCGTACTGTAAATGTTAGAACGCCGACGAAACATCCATGCTCTATAATCAGAACAGGAGGCTAAATTCTTGTTTCTTACTCCAACATAAAAATTCTTCCTGTAATTTACAGAGCTATCAATGCCAGAGCAGTGATTTAATAATTCATGGCAACTGTTTAGGACCTAGGGCCTGGGACATGAAGTGCTTAAAATTAGCTATCAGCAGATACACATTATCTCTCACAATAGTATCTGGGGGTGGAAATTACATCACACCCTACTCCCCCATTATAAAAACATCAACCCAGCAGCCTCGTAGTAAAGGAGCTTCCCCAAGGTCAGTCGGGCCGGGATGTGCTGCGCTGTTTCTTCCTAAGATCCTCCGAAGGAGGCACCCAGCCCATTATACCTCCGGACCGGACCGGAGGCAGGGGGTCTCAATGGAGACAAGTACGGGAAAGCGGCGAGCGCAGTTCCCCGCACAGTGGGGATGTGAGGACCAAGGCACCGCCGGAGCAGCTGGGTCCCCCCTAGCCCTCCGGCGCCTCCCGGGCCCAGGGCTCCGGGGCCCCCTCCCGGAGCTCCAGCGCGTCTGCGAGGGCCGCGCGCGGGCGCTTTGTACGCGCAGGCCAGCCGGGCTCCCGGGGCACCGCGGCGCGCGCAGGCGGCCGTCGGCCTGCAGGGAGGAGGAGGGCGCGGCGGCTCGGCCCGGGAGCCCGCCAGATCCCCGCGCTCCCGCTCCG